CACGACGCTAATCATTGTTACAACAACAAAAAAAATAATTAAAAAAGCATAAACAATAAAGAGAAAGCAAATAAAAGGAATCCAATAGTTTGAGAGATGTTAATGGCATATTGGGGATTGTAGATAAGAAAAGGCAAAGCATGTCATGATTCTTAAAGCCAGGAATTAGGGGATAAATGAAATCAGCATTGTCAAATGGGTCTCCTATGTTTGCTAAATTCATGATTACTTTTGAATGTTAAATAAATACATGCATACTCCAAACAAAGCGTGGAGAACCAGATTATGAGTTACAATCCTTCAACTACCACCAAAATGTTGCTAATCAAAAGAATGCAGAATAAAGAAAAATAAATAATTGCACTCATTATTTTCATTTTTCTGAATTTGATTATATTTTTTCTTCTTCACAAATTTAGTTTTTACTATATTAATTGTACATTTTGGTCTATTTTTTTTAACTTATACTTCATCAGTTTCACACTGACTGCAATTTAAAGTTTCTATACACAGACTAAGGGCAATAATAAATATATCACTTTTTAATACAATTTTACTAAAAGAAACTAATATTATATTAAAAAGTGAGAACATAATTATTTTAAACATTTCTTAAAACATTTAATAAAGATATTGACATATATATGCTAATAAATGTGCTAATGTAATAAGGGTCTCTTAAGGGACTTCAACCTCCTAGGCCTAGCTAGTCCCACAATGAAGACGCCAATGATCCATATAAACTTTTAGCATGCAACTTTTTAACATTATAGGATTAACACATTAATGCCATTTAACTTAGTTGATGAAATCAATGGTGAATGCAATCACCGGATGAGACTGATGGTTTTTAGATTTAGATTCTGTAACAAGACTATTTATTTATTTATTTATTTATTATTATTATTGATTAAAATTTAATCCACAATCTAAAAATTACTAGAATGACAATCATATCTGCAAAAAATGATTTTTAGACATCTAAAATGCTATTTGATACTTAATGAGAATAAAAGAGAGGAAATATAAGTATAATAAGTGATATGATGGGATAAAAAGAAAACAGATAAGAGAAATAATGGATGTTAATTTAGTACTTAAAGAAGAAATATCATTGTAAAGAAATTACTATTTATCCTATTACTTTTAGTCATCTTACATTTTTAAAGTCACCCCAACATTTAGAGAATGTACCAAGACATGTAGAACACTTCAGAGCGCTTGATTTATTATGTTAGATTGATAGTTAATTCCAATGGATTCTTAGACAATGAGCTTTTTTTCTTTTTGATTGTTTTTAATTTCCATGCAGAATTTAAGCCTCTAAATATTCTTTTGGCATCCCCTTTTCATAACAATGAATAAAGTTCATGAAAATTTCTTCCTGGCACATCTTTATCAACTTGATGAGCATGAATATAAAAAGAAAAAAGAAAAAAGAAACTAAATGTTGTTGTAATCTACATACTTACACAGCCACCGATCTATGCATGTTTGCTGGAGGCAATGATGAGAGAAAGTCATTTGGTGGACATACCTGGTCCCCTTGCTTTCATTTTGGAACTTTTCTTGTGTAGTGGACCACAAACATTTTTTTCCTTCATTTTTTTTCTCTATTATAAACAATGTTTTGTGGTTCTCTACATCTTCCATTTCATCTCTCATCAAAATTGAACAATTCTGAGGCATCACAATAAACAAACACTGAGAAAGGCTTTACTTGAGGAAAATCTTTGATGGGAAACAACAGGTTCAGATTGTCTGATATGATGCCAAATGCATGGTTTTATAAGCTCAAAGACATGAGCAAATCAAGGAAGAGAAATGGCCCTCATGCTATGAAGAACAAAGTAACCTCACCAACAACAACATCCCAAAGGTGCTCAAATTATTTCCCCAGTGAACCAAACATAGCTGGTAAGTTATACAACTCTCCTATTTTCACTAAACACTCAGACAACACATTCTCTGATTCACCAAGAAGGTCATCATCCAAGAGAAGGGGTAAGAGAAAAACCATTTACAAGCCTTCTCCCACCACACTTGTCTCTTCACCAGTCATAGAAAGTTTTAGTTGTCATTCCACAAACAATTGGATCAAGCCAAATCAACCTCATTCTCCAGACTATTATCTCTCCTCCTTAGAGAGTTCTTCTGAATCAAACAATGAATATGTTTCATCCGAGTCTGAGTGTGATAAGTTCACCATTCCTGACCTGCTTAATGGGGTAGCCTCTGAATGCAGTTGTAGAGTTAGCTCTTCCACCAACGACATCATCATTGACATGAAAAATGAACCCTTCCCTGAAAATCTTGATGGCTTTGATACAATTTCACAACTAGGCCTTGCTCCAATATTGACAAAGCCAGTGAAGTTTGATGACAAGGTCAACGAAGCCACTGAGTTGAGAAGATCAACTCTATTTGATGAGGTAAAGGCTCATCAATCTCTATCTGTCAAAGTTGGAAAAGAGGAAAGCAGTAGAACTAAGAGAGAGAGAAAAACAAGTTCAATTGCTAGAATTTCATCTGCTAACTCTACAGGTATAAGACTTAGAGTCAATTCTCCAAAACTTGCAAGCAAGAAGGTTCAAAGCCTATGCAAGAAAGAGTGTGTCATCCAAAGCATGCAAGGCTTCAATGAATACAGAATTTCCAGAGGGATTTGCAGTTGTTAAGTCCTCACTTGATCCACAAAGAGACTTCAGGGACTCAATGGTGGAGATGATTGTGGAGAACAATATTTGTGCGTCGAAAGATTTGGAGAACTTGCTTGCCTGCTATCTTTCACTGAATTCAAGGGAATACCATGATCTCATTGTCAAAGCTTTTGAGCAGATTTGGTATGACATGGCTCAACTCAGAATGTAAAGATTTTAGATTATCCAATGCTTGTGTATAGTCTTGTAAGTAACACATCTCAGGACCAACTCATGTTCTGAACTCTCATATAATGCTTTATCAATCTTTGACAAATTAAAAAAAAAATGTAGTAGCAACAAGGAATTTAAATGATGTCATAAGTAAGCTATCTGCTTAGTTATTTCAGAACTAGTTTATCGATGGATTATAATTGATAACATCACAACAGTCTCCATTTTGATCCATAATGGCCTGATGAGCAAAAATAAATAATTAAATGAATAAACTTTCTGAATGGCCCTACCACTTCCTTCAGTGGTCTTTTGGTTTTAGTTGTTTGTGTTCATCTGTTGTGTTAAATGTGAATTAGATATCCTTTGAAGATTTGATTGTGTCTATATTGAAGGTAGAAACATTGTTATGCAAAACCAGCTGGTTCAATTGGTGTTTGAAGTTAAAATGTCTTTAAATTCTTAGTTGCAACCAAACAGGCTCCACAAATGCAAGAGTAAAAAAGGTCAAAAAAGAAAACAATACTCTCTCTAGATATCACTTGTGGAATTGTGGTGTCTGAAAAGCTAGTGCCATTGTGCCAATGTTAGTACTGTAAAGTAAATCTAGAATTTACTTCGATAAAATTTTTATGACCAAGTGTTCCTTTTGCAACAAAAAAATTAACAACCAAAGAAAATGATTTCTATTCTAATTACAATTTTTTTCCAAGTCTTTTCCCCTTAACCAGCAATTTGACTCGAAGTGTTTGACATGGTGCCATCCAATCAAATGATCAGATTTATTATTTGGGTTACCATAAGAACACAATGCCAGAAGTGACATCAAACATAGACAAATAAGAAGAATGCAACACTAGTGAAGTTCAAGGATATTGTAAAAAGCAAGGTAGCCATGTGAGCAATATCAGCTTGCTTTTCCCTTTCAAGTTCAAATATGACATTTTAAAGTTGTAACAGCTACTTCAATTAAGCAAGCAAGCAAGTAATCATACATATATGTCATGAATTAGGATAGTAGACATTTCCCTGTAAAAAACATAACCCACATTGTGAAGGAACTAGACTATTTTGCCATAATGTTTGCATTTCAGGTCCAATAAAAAAAAATCTTGAATGACATTGCTCTCTTTTATAGCTACTTATTAATAACCTCAAACGTGTGAAACTTTGAATGTGCACATATTTATTTTTTTCGTAATCATGTTATTCGAGCAAAACATTTATATGTTTTGTCATGGTTAATCTCTACCTAAAAGTCTGTTTGGTCTCTTTTTGTGGGTCTCCTCTATCCAGCTCATGCAGTGCAAACTTTGAATATGTTGCTAGCCCTTGTGCTTCTCAAGGAACCATGCCAATTATTGAGATTGGTACTAGAAATGGTAGGCTTAACTCTTTTCCTAGTTAGCCTTTTAGTAAAGATATTTCCTTAAGCGCCAAGTATTTGCCACAAATATTTTCAAGTATAGGTAGTTTCCAAAACAAGTAGCTAATTAAATTTTCCATGTTGAGAAAACTGAATTGATCACATTAATTATATCCTTTTTTCCTCTTCCTCTTCCTTTCTGTTCTCTCTTTTTGGTTGGTGCAGCAGACTTAAATATACTGGTTGCATTGTTGGAATACTATGATAAATATGTGGGCATGAAGTTAACACATTGATGGCAGTATTTGTGGTTGGAAACAGTGAATAAGGATGAATCTGCAGCACTTGCATTTATATATAAAACTACTATTCATTGATCACATATTGATGGATAAAAGCCACATCATAGCAAGTGGGGCTAATTGCAGACATGACACATATGTATACAACAACGTCCATATCTCGTTATAGTGATGTCTACAAGAATCACACGACACTGTTTGGTTCGGTTAAAAACTTCATACTGCAAATGAACAATATTACGTATGAATGTTAACAATAGTTGAAATTAATACGTGTGAAGCACTGTTCTATGGACCCCTACAGTGTCAGTTTTCAACACCGACACTCCTTTGATATCCATATGACACAAAGGATGACACAAGCCAAGCATGCCGACATTACTTTGTATTTTTTTTTTCTTCTTGTCCAAAGTATGACCTCTTTTAATTAACTTCTATAGAAGTTTTATTTTTTATGTTTTTGCACTAAGATTCTTTTTTATTTCAATTACCATTTTTTAATTTTTATTTATAAAAATTGAATTCAATACTAAGGAGATTTATGATAGTTCACAGCTTAACCAATTGAGTTAAATTTTGATTAAATTTATTGAGTGTAACTTTTCTGTTTAAGAAGAAAAGATTAAAAAAAAAATACCTATTTTTAGATATCTTTGATTTACGAAGTCATTAGACTTCTGAATAAATCATGACTTAAATTTTTTTAACCAAAGTCTTCTAATTGAGTTTTATGGATGAAAGAAACTTGGTTGGACGAAAGATTCTTGCTATAAATCATTAACTAAATTTATTAACAAAGATTAAATTATCAACAAAACCAATAGATATTTCGAATTAATATCATAATTAACATGTTGGAAATGCAATTTAGGAGTGACTTTCAAATCCAATGTACTAATAAGCTTTGTCATCAAAATCAGTGCCAATGTAGAGTAATGGAACACTTAAAAACTAGAGATGTTATTGCTCGAGTTATTATAAAGGCTATGCAAATGGCCAATGTTCAAGTAAAGGAAAAGGAACATAGAAAAGCTGAGCACATCATGAGGACCACAAAATCATCATAAACAGTCTGGTAGTAGGAATAATCAATGTTAAGGGAGGACCACATGAGAGTGAGGGAAAAAGTCCACTTAGCCAACTAGAGTTATAGGGAAAAACATACCCATAAATAATTAAATATTTCACATTCATATTACTCTCTTTAATCTATTTTTCTTTGGTAAAAGATGATCAGTCTCTTTACATGCACAAATCGTTTCAGGTCATGTTTCTATCACAAATCTAGTAGAGAAAGAAACTTTAGATTCTACATAGCCTCAATCCACCTCAATTTTTAGCACTGTGGGACAAGTTTATGAATAGTCAACATAGAAAATATTGCAGTCAACGCCAGCCTCTCAAATATAAAATTTGTTCACTGCAATGCCTACTCGCTCCATCATGTTTGAACAGACTTTAAAACAGTGTAATTCCACTAGATCCAAATTATTAAACTTCATGAACAAGGGATTTGCGTCATAGATTTAATTTGACATGAACATATATACAATTATAGCCTAAAACATAACGTTATGTTGCACCTAGCAAATGAGACACCAGTCATGGTATGGCTCCACACCTTTAATGATATAGATTCACTAGTCTCATAAATGGTGTCCATTATGCACAAAAACAAAATATTTTTCTCCCTCGGAGTTAAATTTTAGCACCTAAAAAATTTTTGTCTTGGCAAATTTGTAATACAAAAATTTAAATATTGATAGCATATCCTATTCTACAAAACAGGGAAAAAAATCCTAAAATAATAAAAAAAATTAAATATAAATATTTGAAACTTAAATAACAGATTCCAAAAAAAAAAAAAAAACTTAAACTATTCCTTATTTTTTAAAGTAAAGATAAATAGGCATATCTTCAATGGTCTCTTTAATTTGAAAATGTATTATTTTTTGTTCTCAAAATGATTGAGATATCACTTTTATAACTATTTTTAAGCATTATTTAAATCATTCTAAGGATCCAAAGTTATTCGTTTTCATATTAGAGAGATCAAGCTAGTAAAAAAAAACAATTGAAGAACTATAACATATTTTCTCCAAAAATAATATTAGAGAAATTCTTGGAGTAGACCAAAAGGGTCAAACTTGCATGGTATTTTATGGATTGAATATTGATGGGTTTTTCAAGTAATTGCCATGAATCATGATGTTCAATGAGCACCCTGAGTTCTTGTTTTACTGCTTATCCAAATTTAGCAATTAGTATATCACATGCATTACGTCAATAATGGATCGATATGAAGAAAATGCGTGCTACCATAAAGATGCACATATGCTGAGTGGTGTTGACTTTCAAAAGCCCAAACCCTTCTACTTGACCAAATACTGTTCTACATTTCAACTCGTGCATTGATGATATATATGCTTAGTTTCCTCTTGATAAGTTAATATTGACATATTTAATTAATTTTTCCAAAAATACTTGGAGAAAATAATAGGAAAGAAGAATGAAGGGGTTGGGGGGTTTCTTTTCCTGACTATTGTTTATGAAAAACCTCAAATAAAAACATGATGTTTATCCATTCAAACTCTTATAAGTGTTTAGTTTATGTTTTTGACTGGAAATTTTTTTTTTTTTAAGTAATGAAAAAACAAAGAAGTTAATACCTGAAAACTTTTATAAATTAGTTTTTATATGTGTTAATTTATGGAGAAATTAATTTCATTTTTTTATTTTATTCTTTTGTAAGTATTTGAGAAATTTATTCAAACAAACTCTATGTAACACTTGATTGTCATAAAACATATTTTTTTTCTAAAAAAAATAAATCATCTCATGTTAAAAATTTTCCATTACAAATTGTGTATTAATCTCATTTTGATAAACATTAAGCAGATAATCCCAAAGTTTGTGATCATATATGAAGAAAGACAAAATTTTCAAATATATGGGTATACAAAATTTTGGTATGAAGAAATTTGTATCATTATATGTCAATCTTATTAATAATTGACTATGGTCCAAAGATAAAGTCAATTGATTTGATGAAATAACTATATGTTGATTTTTCTTTTATATATTTTCATTTTCAATTTATATATAACAATAATTATAAAAACTTTATTTTATTTTGTTCCTTACTTTTATTATTTGATTTATAAATTTTTTAGAGTTTAGAATTTTAAAAACAGAGAATAAAGTAAGAACAAAAGATCTTTTCTTATACATAATTAAAAATGAAAAAATGACAATAAAAAATTGATAAATTATCCTATTCTTTAAGCATAATTGGTAAATAACCTTGTTCCTTAAACAAATAGTCAGAAGTTCAATCCCTTAATTAAAAGATGTCTTGATTTATATAAAAAAAATTTATTAAAAATTTAAATTGAAAAGTATTAAATAAAAAATTAAGCCCTTTTCATATTAGTTGATATTTTCTCTTTAAAATTATTAAAAATATAAATATATATTCTCTTGTTACATATATGATATCAATAAATATAAACATATATATATATATATATATATATATATATTTACTAATTATATATGTTGATTTTTTAATTGTGAATAATTTTTGTTGAAAAATTTAATTGATTATTTTTAATAAAATATTTTCTGAAAACCAATTTTTATTTTTTTTTACAAAACTTAATGTTTTGGATAAGAGATATATAATAGCCCAATTAGGGATGGCAAATATACCCGTACCCGTGGGTAATACCCGAACCCGTCCCGACTTTGACAGGGAATACCCGGTTTGACCGGGTACGGGTACGGGTACGGGTAAAACCCGATATATTGAATCGGGTACGGGTACGGGTACGGGTATGTACTTACCTGCCCCGTACCCGTACCCGTACCCGTCCTCGTTCCCATTTTTAATTTAATAACCCGTACCCGTACCCGTCCCCGTTCTCATTTTTAATTTAATATTCACTTTTAATTTAATTATATTAAAAAAAATTAATTGTATGATTATTTATTATAATGTGAGATAAAAAATAACCTAATTATAATTATAATATAATAAAAAAAAATAATTTAAAAATATTATTTTTAAAAAGAAAATAAAAAATAAAAAAATTGACGGGTACGGGTATACCCGATACCCGACGGGGATGGGGATGAAAATCCATACCCGACGGGTATGGGGACGGGGATGGGGATGAGTTTTACTTGCGGGGACGGGGACGGGTATCATGAAACCCGTACCCGCCCCGCCCCGTTGCCATCCCTAAGCCCAATACCAATGACACCAAGGTAATTACACTTACCCTTTGTTCTGGTATGCCTAAAAATCTCACATCGCTTAGGAGTCGAGGTTAAGGATATAAACACCTTTCCGTTTTGGCACTCGTTGGGCCGTCACGATTAGCCTCGACTTTTAAGCGATGTAGGACTTTTAAGCATACTATCGGTAGGTTAAGGAGGAAGGGTGTTTATAAGCTACCCTTAGCCTCGACTCCTAAGCGATGTGGGAGATGTGGGACTTTTAGGCATACCAGAACAGAAGGGTATTTATAAACTACCCTTAGCTTCGACTTCTAAGCGATGTGAGACTTTTAGGCATATCGGAACACCCTTCAATTTTTTTTCCGTTCTTCTCAAGTCTCTTTCCACCACCTGGGTGTAAGGGTGTGAAATGATCATTCGAAAGTTAATCGTTGCTAATAAATAGCACACACAATCAATCATGTTCATTGCTGACCATGAATATCTCATGCTATCATATTCGAAAGCATGCCAATCGGTAATAAAACCAACCACAATTCACCATAATCAATCTTAACACTGATAGTGCTAGGCCTGCTGCAAACAACTCTTATCCTTTCATCTATAAATAATAAATAATTAAGGGTGCTAAATAAACTGAATTAGTATTGGCAGTGAACTGAACAATAAAAACTAAATCATTCTCATAAAAAAAAGAAGAAGAATGAACTATTTTTATATATAAAAAAACTAGAATAATGTAAATTATAAAAGTTAAACTATTTTTATAGAAAGATAAAATTTGTGCCAAAAACATGAGTTGACCCAATTAGTTAAATTTCGAACAAGTGATCTAAAAAGAATTGGATCATTTTAGTCGGGTCTGATAAGTCAATTAAACTAGTCAAATTGCTAATTTTTAAAATTTTAAATCTATTGAATATATTTGGTGTGATATTTTTTTTCTCTGCAAAATAGAAAATAAAATAAAATTGGTCAAAAAAGCTTAATTCAAATTACTAAAATAATTTAGTTCAAAGTTTCAAAAGAATTTAGTTTTTTGTTTAGATTGCAATTCAGTTCAAAATTTTAAAATATAATTTAGCTCAGTTTAGTGAAATAAAAAATAATTTAGTTTAATTTGCTTCAATTGATTTTCAATGCAGTTCAGTTTAGTTGAACTTTTTTTTAAAAAAAAAATTTAGTGCAATTTTATAAATTCAGTTTAATTTAATTTATTTTGGCCAGTCCTAAAAATAATAGTGCATACTAGTCTAGCTTAATAGAGATGACTTATTCCCCTCCAACAAAAACATTTATTTTTGTTCAATACCTCTTATACATGGATAGACAAGTCAAAATGACCTGAACTATTTGATTTCTACACATATGCACATCATCTTACTGAAGTTATTCAGACATAGTACATATCAAATACTGATACATGTTGAATATACTTAAATACTAGTTCAATTTTAAAAAAATAAAAATAGATGACTTAAGCATGACATTTTTTCCCTCCCTATTCTTAATGCTTAAGCAAGACTCTAATGACACCTTGAGGTATAACTAATTATACTTAATTGTACTAGTTAGATTATTTATCCTCCAAAATAATGAAGTTTTTCAAGTAAATTTAGGATTTTTTTCCCACCGTTATCACAAAACTTTTCATGTTTATTTATCTATTTAAGCAAACTCATTCATCGAGAAAGGTCATTCCATGATGCAAGTTATTTACACTCATTTAAACCCAACACCCCAACAATACAATTATTTAGGTACATGAATCTATGGCCAACCTTCAAGATGAATATTTCCTTCAAATCATACCATTATTCCTTGAATGTCTAAACAACTCCATAGCACATAACCCTTACCATTTTCTCTAGCCATCTTCGATTTCAAAGAGCCATTTTTAACCTTTTCTGTTTCTAAAGTTTTCTCCCTTGCTCCTTCTAGAAGAGTTCATCACATCAAAAGCACCAGCACATGATGGTTGTGACTTTTTGTTGGTAACCTCATAAGGTGTCACAAATCCAATATTCTCCACAGCTCCAACTGTCTTGAATAACCTTCTCTTGTTTACCTCCTCAACCAGTGATCTGTGTAGTAACTGGCTCCTCATATCAATCAATGATTTGTTCCTTGTTAGTCTACGATTGTCCACCACCCTCTTACTTTTGCCAGCTTGTGATGCTGCTAAAACTTTACACTGATTCAAAGTGAGGGGGTCTTCATTAGGGGAAAATCTTGTACACATGTGACTCTTTATGATGGAATGTTTATCTTTTCTTGTAGAAGCCTTGTTGTGTTCCTCATGGTCATCCACTGAACAAAAGTTTGAGTTGGAATATGTCCCATGTGAAGAGCATATTGAACTCGCATCATCATGTATATCACCTGCAATAGTAGTTTATCAACATTAAGATGTCTAAAAAAAGTTTGAATTGATTCAAAGCAATTCAAGATTGATCCGATTCGAATCATAAAACCGGTCCTTTTTGAGGAAAAAACGAATTGATACTCTTTTCAAAATTAGTTTAGTTAACCAATCTATTTTTACAAAATGACTCGATTTAATTTGTTAAAAAATCAAACCATATGAATATAAAATGAATAACTAAATTGCACTAAACCAATCTAATTTTAAAAACTTCAATCCATTTTTTAAATGATTTGATTAACTGAACCATTTTCATAAAATAGATTGAATCAGTTCAGTTTGAATTTTTCAAAGATCCAATTCATGAACAATCCTAATCAAGATTATTTGAGAAACTTAAGTTAGTTAAAAAAGCAATGTTCCTCTTCCACTATGTGATTGTTCTAAACTATATAGTAGATTTTCATGAGGACTTGCTTCCATACAAACTATTTGAAAGGTTTCATAACACAATGCCTACAATCTTGCATTTGCTCCTTCCAAAAGCAAAGTAAACTAACAATTCATTACTTCATATGTCCTCATGGATGGTCATCTTAGGAAATTTCCCACATGCCTAGCCAGGGTGAATAACTCGGGGCATGTTGGTCTGAAAAAACATTTTATGTTTCCATTTCCTATTCTCACAAGTTATTACAAAAATGCAACCTGATTGTCACTTTGTTTCTTGTTTTCAAGGATTTGTTCAGGAAGTAAAGAAAACAATAAAATCTTGCTTGCATTGTTTCTTACACAAGTCTACGGAAACAGGAACCAAGGTAAAAACAAGGTGTCTTATTTTTTTTTTGCAATTATTTGTTAAAACAAAAAACATTGAACATGTCCTTAAGAAGCCTATTGCTAAGTAGGTAGTGCAAATAAATTGTAAAGTTCAGTCATTTGAGTACACTTAAAGAAGTCATACCATGAAGCCAATAATATCCATTCAAGAAGTCATCAGCTCTACTTATTGAGCCTGATATTGATTCGTGGGGTGATGAACAAGAAGAGATCGAGTGGAAATGATGGCGAGGACCTTCATCGTCGTCATCATCATGATAACTGAATGTATGGAAGGTGTCTGAACAGTTACTATTCCTCCTATTTGGCATCAGCACAGATATCTCTCCTTCAATCATATTTGCAATATCAGTAGGCTTCAAATCTGTGATCTCCAATTCTTTCACCATCTCCATAGCGACATCAATAGGGGTGTCTGTGTGTATGTCAAAGGGAAAGTATACATTCCTACAAGAACCTGTGAAGATAGCAGAGAAGTTTTTTTGTTACTTCAATTAAAAGCTCAAGTCCATTTACTAGACACAAGTAAATGATGTATTTAGAATGAAAGAGGACATCAAGTATCAAGTAAAGATTGATACCATCCTTGTCAGAAATTTGCACTTTGAGAAAGATTGTATCGTTTTCTGAATTCAGCTTCCCAGTTATTGACATTTCATTCCTAGGTGAATCATCACTCAATTGAAGCTTTTCCATTTCACCGTAATTTAAAAATGGCTCTTGAGTTCCAATCTTTGTCATGGATGATGCATCATCAGACAGAAGAAATGGATCATGCAACAATTCTTTTGCTGATGGCCTTTTTGCTGCACTTACTAGACATTTTCCAATAAACTTCTGTGCTTCAGTGTCTTCAATCCGGAAAAATGCTGCTGGTAGCTTACCCTGAACACACAAAGAAAAGTTGTTTATGTATAAAATCCTATCTCTACCAAAATCTTTTTAAACCTTAAAAGTTAAACCACGATCTGAACTTACCGATGTCACTTTCTTGTATATCTGTGCAGGGTTAGCACATTCACTATATGGATAATCAGATGTGAGCATTTCCAGAACACACATGCCAAATGAATACACATCAACCAGTTCATTGTATTCCTCCTCGTACAATTCTGGTGCCATGAACTCTGGGGTGCCTAGCACAATTGTGTAAATTTTAACGCAATTAGAGTGGCACAATATTTGCTACATTTATTGGCGGAAAATAGATAAATACCTATAACACTGTGGGCTGGCTGAGAACCATGAAGAATTGCTGCTAGACCTAGGTCACCAATTTTTACTAGTCCAAGATGGCCATTAACAAATATGTTATCACATTTGAGGTCCCTATGAATTACTGGAGGATCATGTTCATGTAGATAAACAAGACCCTGTAAGATTTGGCGAGCCCAACTCTTTATTGCTTGTAGGCCTATGTGCTTATACTTCTTCCTGTATCTGCACAAGCCACAAACTTATCAATTGATGTGCATGCCATGAAACTACATATCCCTATCTTATTGAGTTTAATATATTTTATTCAATCCATATACACATTTACATAGAATGAATCTGTACACCAACATGCTTAAATGTCAAGATTAAATGAAAAGAGGCATGTGATTCGTAGAGTTTGTTTTGATACAAGTTAAATGTGCTTTTGAGAATTTCTCTACTGAAAAAAATGTTTTTTTTCAGTTAAAAAGTTCTTAACAACTCTTCTAAGCATATATCAAAATAGGCTTGTAGTCTAAGAAATAAAGATGTACTATTTTTATAAGCAAAAGAATGTATATTTAGTAAGGGAGCACTAGGAGTGCACCAACCCAAGTACACTGATGAAGATATTGCTACATATAGCACAATTACAATAAAAAATGCTACTTTTCGAATAAAAATGTACTTCATTTCAAAGGAACTGCAAAATGGGACTTAAGCACTGCCTAATTTATAGTTAGAAAGGAAGTTACTCTCTTAGTGTCCCTGAAGTAAACATTTCTGTAATGAAATTGAAGGTCCTGTTGTCAACATCAATCCAAGAGGTGTAAAACCTCATGATGGATTGGTGCTTGAGGGTGCTGAGGAGATGAACCTCTAAATAGAGCCGCTCCAAGTCCTCTGGTTTGCGAAGTGCCTCATTGAGTTTGACCTGGTTCCATGCTACCTCTATTCCAAGGGCCTCATCAATTGCTTTATATACTGTCTTCATTGCCCCTTTTCCTAGAATATCTCCAACCTAATCACATAGAACACACAAATTTTGTTACATTGAGCTAACTGTGTGATGACATCCTAATTTCCGATACACTTAAAGAAAAGAATTGACATAAATTATATACATAGTCCCTTGAGAAGTTTTGATTGAAAATTATAAAAGCTGTTTACACTAGGCACAAACCAGACAAGGGGAAAACAAGGAATTATAGTAAATATAATTAGCACAGCCAACAACCACATAGTTTTAGAGCATTTCCTCCATGACATCACTTTAAATCTTGCTAATATGAAAAGAAATTTTTAATAATTTATTTTACGGTAAATATTATATACACCATTCCCACTTTTAAATTTCCAGTTCCTAAATCAGTCCTATTTATCCATGCTTTTTGTTAAGTCAATATCCCCTACATCACTGCATATGCAATAGTTCTTCACAATTATGATCAATTCACACGATATTAAAGGGAAGTGAGTGATCAACAAATTTATAAAACAGATATAGCATGTCACTAGACTAAGAAATTAAGACAAATTAATAATGCCGCTCCTGTAAACCATCTCTTTTTCCAGAAATCTACATACCCATGGTTTATATTCATTTTCATTAAATAATTTGTTTGCCTTTAGAAAAAGATTGGTGCAAAACAAGCATGGTAATTTAAGCCGAGATTGGAGAAATCAAATTTATCATGATAAGCTTCTTTAATTGGTACACATACAAATGCAATCACTTGAATACTGAATTCACACAAATATCCTTTCTCAAATGCCACAAATCTGCTGCAAACAGGTAATCAAGCAATGAACCATGACTATTCGAAGTAGTCTCATACCAATATACAAAAATCATGCAAGGTTATCTGACCCCAAGTCTTCACAGTAAGTACTAACATATTCTTATGCATGAAACCAAGTTGATCCACTCAATCAAACTGTAAATGGTAAAAGTATTCAATATATATTTCCTGTGCATGCAAACTTGATTTCCAACAACTCCCCAGTATCAAACAGATTGCTCCAGAGGATTATGCTTTGAACATTGAGACTTGAATCATACCCCAATTTGAGCAGAAATACAAGCTCAAAACTAAACAAAAGATAAATCCTCAGAGATAAGAAGTCAGACAGAACTTAGATGCAGTTCTTAGATGTTTTTGGTACCGTTCTTCAGTTAAAATTGAAGTTTCGCTTCAATAATCCATATTACTTTTAATGCAAACCTTTATCGTGTAGATTACAATTCTGATTGAAAAATAGTATTAAAAACAGACAAGGTAATACATCTAAGTTTGTCCTAAAATGTCTAATCATATGGCATTTAATTGAGCCTCTGATATTTGAATCTGTTCTTTCTTCCAACTATCTACGATTTCACTATACTCAAAATATTACACACAAAACTACCTTTTCCCATACAAGTAATACAAAAGTAGTCCAATTTCAAATAAAATAAAAGTTTCCACAACCAAAAATAAAAATAAAAATACAAGATTATATGATTTAGAACTTACCCGAGCATATCTACCAGTTGGGTCGGTTTCCATGTAACGAGGCTCAGCTTTGGTATCCTCCTTACACCCTTTATGGGAATACATGTTGAATCCTTAACTATATACTCAAACTAAATAACTAACAATCACCTAACCTCCAAAGCTATAGCATGCACCACATCCACAACTCATGTGCAGAAAGAGTCCAAAAGGAAAGAACAAAACGAAAAAACCAGAAACAACAAAGTTTGTTTTGTGCTATTATCCAAGGTTGTATTCTAGAATCCTAAATCCGAGGCTTCCCCTCGTGGTAAACGTGAGGGAAGATCCCAAAAAACAGCCAGAAAAGCCTTGAGTGATCAATACTTTGCATGATCCTACCCATCTTTACACCAACCACGCATGTCAAGGGATCATAGTCCTTAGCAACCATTTGAATTATGATTTATGATTCAGTTTTCCTTGTCCTTTTTGAAAACGGAAAGTGCACAGAGAGAGAGAGAGAGAGAGAGAGAAGGAGTGGTGGCTGCAAGATTTGACAGGTGAGAAGAAGGGAATAAACGGATAATAATTTTACTATGAAACTGACGTGTGGCTTTTGCTGATGAGGATCAGCTTGGGGCACTCACAGTGAGAAACAGTGCACGGAACTTGAAGAATCTGTGGCCAAGCTTTGGTGCAGTCATTTGTGGACGAGTGAAAAGCAAAACGAAGAGAACAAAACCCAGGTCCCCAAACTTGGGTGGTGATCCAAAAATGAACTTTGGAAACATGGGAGAAGCTTTCTTTATATGTAAGGAAGAGAGTAAATTATTCAATATGTATATATATATATATTTTTACTAGGAAATTTCACAGTCTTGAAATTAGAATGACGTTGATAAAACCTTTTCTCCACATGGATGATTTTTGCAAGAATTAAGCGAAAAAGGTCCTTGTGAAGGACCCTTATTATATATAGTATTATATACTGAGTCTCATATAATTACCGAATATGAAAGACAGTGGGGCTAGGGTGGGACCACATTTGAGGTTGAGGTGGCAACGTTTGAGGGCTTGTGATTGTGTCATGTGTGTTTGGAGATGTCAAGGATGACAAGGTTGACTTTGGGGACCTTGTGAACTATTGATCTTTTGATCCTATGGCCATGACATGAGGCAGGTTATGTTGTGTTACTGTTTTTCATTTTGTCTTGTATCAGTGTCGTGTGGATAATCTTTTCAATATCAAAATCTTTGATATTTTTCGATGCTTATCCTAATCTTGGACCTTTTGTTTTTCATGTGTTAATTTTGGAATTTTGGTGTGAGATGCGGGGGTCATATTTGGTGATGATTGCAACCGAGACAGACTCTATGTATCTAATGGAAAATAATCAGTGGAGATCAAACTCTATTTAACATTTAGCTATAGATGTAAAGAGTTAAAGCAAAAATGAAGACCACATAAAAAACAACAACTAAATTTTAGTGTTTATTTGAAGAGAGAAATTAAAAAAAAAAAAAAAAAAAAAGGAAGGAAGGAAACTATATATGTGTGACAAATATATTAGAATGAAATGGAAAGGAAATATATTTTTTTTATTTTTAAAATATAATATAATTTTAAGAATAGTAAATAATTTCATACTACGAAAAATATAATATATTAAAAACTACATTTCTTTAATTAGTATAAAAATACTTTATATAATTTTTTTCCACTTCCTTTTTCACTTATCCGAAAAAGAAAAAGAATTTCCCCATTTTTTTTCCTATTTATCCAAATATATGAATTTTTGCTTTGCTTTTATCATTTTTATATCTTTCTTTTCCATTTCTTTTTTGCTTTCATTCATTTCTAATAATAAAAACAAAGCATAAATTAAATAAGAGTTAAAGAGATAATGTAATAAAAAGGGAGAGAAATAATAGAATTTTTTTTTCTTCTTGTGAGCGCAATAACAACAACTAAATGAAAACCTAGGACCACTTGAATAATATTATTCATATAATATTTTTTTACATTAATTTCTACACATTTTTTTTATCTATATCTAATATTTATTTTATATTTAAATATATTTTTAATCTCTATAAAATGAATGGATTTTGATTCTTATAAAAAAAAAATTATTTTTCATCTTCCTAAAATTGGTAAACATTATTTTTATTTCTTATAAAATATTTTTGGTCCTTCTAAAATATGTAAATTTTGATTTTTTTTCTCCCATAAATATATTTTTTTAATTTTCATCTTTTTAAAATATAAAATTACTATTTTTAGTTCTTAAGAATGATTTTAAACTATGTAAATAACATTTATTTTAACAATCTATAATTTTTTTTAAAAATGTCATATAATAATATGATATCATTAATAGAATAAAATTAAAGATAACCACTTAATTTTTTAATGAATAAACAAGTAGTTAAAAATAATTACATAATAATAAAAACTAAAAATAATAGTTTAAACATTACATATAAAAAAAATAAAGAAATATTTTTATAGAAATAAAAACAAAAGTTACTTATATTTTACATAGACTTTAAAATATGTTTAAACACTTGTTTAATTCCACATTTTCTTTCTTCTTTTGTGAGTAAACTATTGTAACTAACATTTCTTGTATATATATAAAACAGAATTTGGGAGCTTTAAAATATATTACTGATATTTCAAGTAGTTACCTCTGAGACAAGTACGACAATAATCGTTATCATTTAGAGAATCTTTTGCTACCATTGTTGGTGGACATCTAGTACTTTAACAAAAAGGAAATCACAATCTAAGGTTTGGAAACGCCAACAAGTTGTTTTCTAAGTAAAAAAGATGAACAAAAAGATGTTAATGATTAACGGAATAGTTCTTTATAGTTACCAAAAAGGTTCTTCAACTATTATCTTAATCAGTGTTTGTAACATGAAGTTGCTTTCATAAGGGGATTATTTAATCAATGGTCAAATGAAATAGTGTTTCTTTTCAAATTATATCTCAACTTAGACTTTTCAAAACTTACCACACCGTCTTTATATCAAATTTCTTTTATACCTGTAGACAATTCGTGTGATGTTTAAGAACAATTTATTTTATTTTATATTAATATAAAGGTTTTTCATTTTGTCACGAAAAAATAATTGTTTGAAAATGTATTTTCTTTTCCCTTCATTTTTTTCGTGTTGTTTGATATGAAATGGTCCAAAATATTAACACGCATGCGTGATCTTTGATATAAAGCAATTCTAACATGCAAATGCTTCAACAATATTATAAACTCTTTTTCTTTTGTTTTTTACACGATCATCAAATAAACTTTTTTTTTTGTGGGTTGCACAAGTACCCTCCAGATCGTAAAATTTACCATGAATAATAAATGAATAACCTAAATGAATATTTATGAATAATGGATACAATTTTTTTTAACTTGTTTATAAAGGGGTGAAGATTGATATAATAATATTCATACCCATTAATATCTCATATGATTTATTAAAATTTATTATGATTGATTGAGATTTATTGAAAATCACATATGATAAGTTATTTTCATTTAACGAAACTATGTTTATTTAGTAATATGACTTACTAAAATTTGTGATTTTTAATTAATAAAAAAAAAATATTTATAACAAAGTGTTAAAGAAAAATTTATTTGTATTTTTCTTTCATCGATGTATATATTTTTTAAAGAACTCTTTCATCAATATTGAAATTATTGTTAAAGAAATAACTAATCTCATACTGTTCATGAAGTGCAAGTCATGGATATCAATTCATGAAGTTGGTCCCTACAGCCAAAACTTTCAAGTTGCAAAGGTGCCTTTTTGTTTTTCTTCTTCTTTTCCTAAGCTTGCAATGATCATGAACGATGGGGATACATATGTAAAGAAAGCACTTGTGGCCCAATTTGAAGAAGACATGGTTACTGGATTTGGGTTGGGCTTCTGGCCCAATCTGTTTAATTTAAAATTGATAGGGTAATGACTTTACTTGACCAAAATGAGGAAAGATGAGGAACACCAATTTCATCCATTAGTCTCTAACTTTTTGTAAAACCTCATTCATTTTAGTCCTTTTGTATTTTATTTTTCATTATCATTATTTATAAAGAGTTTTTAAAATCTCAGAAAGTAAAATATTTAATCCAAACAATTTAAATATTAACTTGGGACTTTTCTCTCAAATTATTGTCTTCAAGATTCTCCTTAATTTGTTACTATTTTAGTTCTTCATTTTAAATTTTTGATGAACTAATTTGATAACTAATTTGCCGACAATTTTTTTTATAAGTTCAAATTAAGGATTTTAGTCTAAATTTTTCATTGTGTATGTAAATTGCATTCGTGTTTTGAACACGTTACTCTTAAATATGGTTATATAATCATAGCTTACTATATATGGTAAGAGAAGCATAATCCTCATCTTGTTCTTTTTCTCCTCTTAAATGAAATGATTTGTTAGTTTCTTTTACCAAAAAACGTGACTAAATATGTATTTATAGAAAAAGAGACTCATACCTTTTGTGTAAAGGAAAATGTTTTCTAAACATCAAAATGGAAAAACAAAAAGTTTGCAACAAAAGGTTGTATGTTTTAATTCTCTAATGTGTTTTTTTTTATGCGTGGATATGAAATAGATAAAAAAAAAAAAAAAAAGTAATAAATATATGTATTCAGCATCGTTTGTCAATTTCATATTAAATAAATCAATGTAAGTCCAATATATTGTTACATTTGAGCCATTGGTCTAATTATTAGAAATAGAATGATAATATTTCTATTTCTAATATAATTGGTAAGGATAAGGATCAACGTGAATTGGAATATCCATTTTTGATATAAAAATATAAAAATCTCGTTGGAGGATAATTTTTAAGAGATATATTGAATTGAGATTTTAAAATATTATTTTATCATTAAAAAGTCCTATAAATTACAAAAGTAAGAATATAATAAATTTTAAGATTTTCTTAAAAGGTTTTTATAATCAAAATTTTATAAAATAAATTTTAATAGACTTATATAATAAGAATATAAGAATTAATAAGATTTAAAAGAATTTCATAACTTCAAAGGATAACATGAACTTGGAAAAAAAATAACATAAATAACAATACTTGTATAAATAAATAAATAAATAAAATTAATATATTTTATGTATTGACATTTTCTCATTCATATTATTATATTTGAACAAAATATTTAAACTTATGATATTTATTAATCGTTAAATATATCAAAATCAACTAGGGTCTTACTTGAATATTAACCGGTAAAGATTATTTTAGTGTAAAACTTATTTGTGTATGTAAATTGCATAAGTGTTGTAAACACATTACCCTTAGTTGAATATGTTTATATAACCATAACTTACTATATATACATGTAGTGGTAAGAGTATAATATTCTTCCTCATGTTCTTTTTCTCCTCTTACATGAAACGAATTGTTAGGTGTTAGAGATATATGTATTCAGCATCACGTGTTAATTCTTTCATATTCCCATTGCATTTTTTTTTCATTACCATGAATACAATTTGATTTTTCCATTAAAGTATATTATATCTAATCACGAAATGGATTCTTCTACCAATTTTCTAAATAAATCCATGTAAGTCCAATATATTATTATATTTTGGGGTAATAAAGGTTGGTTCAATGTAAAGATAGAGTTCATATTATACATAGCGTGAATTTGAATCTCTTTGATATATATATATATATATATATATATATATATATATATATA